GGGAAGCTATGGAGGTGCAGAGAAAATGAAGTCCTTCCTTTCCTGCTGACAATGACACGACCGCTTATGAAGTCTTCCATACCAAGTTGGTGCAGGCCAGGAGTCGCACATCAAGGCGTATCACGACAACAACATCAACTCCAAGCCGCCAGCAAAGCATAACAGATTTTTCGCCCCGCAACCCACCTCACAGCCAGCCCAAGCCAGTGATAGTGGCAGGAAGATGACTTTAGAGGGATTTGTCAGGAAGCCCTGACAATCAGGTGACAGTGATGGTGATTCACCTAGTAATGGTGATTCACCTGAGGGCCAGTAATCTGCCTCTGCCTCGGAACCAGCCTCCATCTCCGTGATGTCGCACTCCATCTCTACTACCGTAGAATTGTTCCACCTAATTTTTAGTATTTAACCTAACCTTTATTTTTCCTATGTTAACCCATATTTTCCTAACCTAACCTCTCTATATTACTTTTTTTCATACAATCATAAAGTTAAGATAAAATTTAATACAACATAGTTATGTGGCCGTCAAAAGGGAGCTTGGGACTGCCTGACCCATTTCAATTTAATCCCATATGTTATGGTTATTCACTTTACGCTGCTTTCGCTTCCCGTAACTGGAAACATTAACCGCCAGAAGTGAGGAAGCAACGGTACTGTTACCACTGGACAGGTATCGTGTAACAGTCAACCCTCGCTTCTGCGTCCCACATTCCGCGTTTCCACGTTTACCGCGTACCGTGCCGAAAGCCGGTCTCACATTCGCAGTGCGTGTACCCATTTACACGGAGAGCGGCTGGCGAGCAGCGCCATTTTTGGATCCAAACCTCCGCCATCTCCCGCCCTCTCCCCATGTTGTGTAGCGGCGTAGGTAGGTTAGCAGTGTGTGTCTTTGTTGCGTTATCAGTGACGTCATATGGCGTATCGGACTGTAATTGGGCCATGCACCTTACCTCCTCAGCTGCTAGCTGTGATTGTTTTAAAGTAATATGGCGTGTCCACCAGCGGGAGGAGGAGGAGGAAAAGCGACGCTTGACTAGCAGCGGCAGTTTCATCCCTCAGGCCACACCGTCTATCGTGCATCCATTGATCTGTAAAATGGCTTCGCCCGGATTCACCGCCCAGAGAAACCTTTCCTTACCTGGACCAGCCGCCCTAAGCCAAAGAAGACACGACGTTCCTTAAGCTACGAAATAAAGTATAAGATCATACAAGAGTTGGAGAAAGGAACAAGACAGGTTGATCTCGCGCGCCAGCATGGTGTTAACGAGTCTACGATCAGGACAATTGAGAGGGATGCAGCCAAGATAAAGGAGCACATGAACATCACAAAGTATACAGGTGTTTCTATGATCAAGTATTTCCACAACCAGGTGCTTCTCAAGACGGAAAAATTACTTAATAATAATAATAATAATAATAATTGACGGTTTATTGAAAAAGTTCTGCAGCCCGAAGGCTGAAAATATACATTGGACATAAATGACTTATTACATACATTGGTGGTTTAACAAAAGCCTTCATTAGAAAAAGGTAAAGGAACATACAGTGAACACACAGATTAATGTAGGTGTTGAACAGCAAACCATTGGTGTAACCCTCCCAGATGGTGTTAGGAGGGACCTCCGTGGTGTAGTAGTTCCTCACAGATGGTGTTATGAGGACCTCACATGGTGTAGTAATTCCCTCACAGATGGTATTAGGAGGGACCTGATGTGGTGTAGTAGTTCCCTCACAGATGGTGTTATGGGGACCTCCGTGGTATAGTAATTCCCTCACAGATGGTGTTTGAGGGCCTCGTGGTGTAGTAATTCCCTCACAGATGGTGTTATGAGGGGCATCACGTGGGTGTAGTCCCTCACAGATGGTGTTATGAGGGCATCACGTGGTGTAGTAATTCCCTCACAGATGGTGTTATGAGGGGCCTCACGTGGTGTAGTAATTCCCTCACAGATGGTGTTATGAGGGGCATCACGTGGTGTAGTAATTCCCTCACAGATGGTGTTATGAAGGGCCTCACATATTGCTGTAGCAACTCATTCACTACGTGGTGTCGTAGCATCATGGGGACACCACGTGGACTGGGGTCACAGGACCTGAGTGAGGTCTGTTCCCAGGCCTCTCTATGGTGGACGGATTAACACATAGCTGGTGTTGTTGAGTCTCAGGGGCAGTTATCACTGGGTACCTGGGACCTCACTGTGTGAAGGTTAGCTTTAATTGAATTGAATTGAATTAAAACAAAACATTATATTTAGCCATAAAAACACAGATACAGAGTGGATAATAATAACAATATTAACATGGCTGAGCCAGTTGAGAACCTGATTTCTCTTTGAGGCACCTGATATATACTATACATTTACCTCAAGGAAGTATTATGTAACTCGGCTGTTAATGTTGAGTTGTTTTTCACTGACTTAAGCACTGTTCACTGTTCACTTGTGAGCTACTTGGTGCGTCAGGCGCGGCAACATGGCGGTGGACACACGCTCTGTTAAGGAGTACGCACGTGAACTGTATGCTGCAGTGTCACGAAAGATGGGAATTACAGAGCCCAAACCTTTTAATGCTTCCTCTGGGTGGTTACAGAGGTTTAAGAAGAGGAACAAGATCACCAATATCAACATTGGTGGTGAAAAACTAGTGCTGACCGTGTTGTGGCTAGGAATTTCCTCCGTTTTACGTGAGATTATGGAGGAAGAGCCACCGACGACCAGGTGTTTCATGGACGAATCTGGTCTTTTTGGAAAAGCTACCTTCCAAGACCTTCGTTGTGAAGAATGCCAGCAAGATTCGGGGCCGGAAGTTGCAGAAGAGCACATCACCGTCCTGTTTACCACCAATGCCTCCGGTACCTGTAAGCTCAAGTTATCGGTGATCCACAACCACATAAACCGCCTGCGCCTACAAAGCATGGACATGGCAAAGCTAAATATCCACTGGCTGACCCGCACGTAAGGATGATTCTACACTGTCCCTCTCCTGGTTTGATGACTGTTTCGTTCGATGTGAAGAAATTCTGTGGCGACAGAATGTGCCATTCAAGATTTTGTTGCTGCTGGACAACGCACCAGGACTCGCCCCTACTGGTAGATCGTCACCAACGTAAAGTGGTCTTCCTTCCTCCCAACACTACGTCTATATTACAGCCCATGGACCAGAGTTAATGTGTAATGTAAAGCTGCATTCTCTACTAAAAAATTCAAGCTCTGAACGACTACACCAACACCAGGGAAGAGTTACGTAACCTGGTGACACCACCACCGATAGCAGGGCGAAGGCGGCGGATCAACAGTTGGCAGAGCAACAAGTACTTTTAAAACAATTCTGGAGAATATTCATCATCAAAGCTGTGGACTTCTTGGTGGAGGCATGGGTTCAGCTGTCTGTAGCAACTGTTAGATCACGCATGGGCGTGTTTGCAAAGCATTCCGGCCGTTAGGCAGAGTCAATCTGTGACTGGTGAGGTTCAGACTGTTGCAGTAGCAGTGGACCTTGCCAGAAGCTGCGCGAGTGGTTACAGCTGCAGGCTTCTGGACCACCAACGACGACATCCTGGAGGTGATAAGGGATCTGATGTGACTACCGACGAGATGGTAGATGATGATGACGTCAGTGAAGAGGCAGGTGGTGCATCATCTCAAAGAACGCCGCTTATCCCATAGTAATGTAAGGGTGCCATCGAGTGTATTGAGAAAGTCAAGCTCCTCCTTTCCGGCGACCCTGGCGCCAACAGGTATAAATCTTCACTACCCAGCTGTTGCAGACTATGGAGCCCTACATCAAGGTTTATCACGACAACATAAACACCAGCCGTCAGCAAAGCATAACAGAGTTCTTAGCCCGCAACCCACCACAGCCAGCCCAAGCCAGTGATAGTGACAGAGGTAGAGACAGTGATGATGACTTTGAGGATTTGTCAGGAGGCCCTGACAAGTGTGGATGACAGTGATGGTGACTCACCTGAGGGCCAGTAGCCTGCCCTCTGCCTCGGAACCAGCCTCCATTCCTGTCACGCCCGACCCATCTTCTACTAACGTAAATGTTAACCCCAACCTTGTTTTTCTAACCTAACTTTCAGTTTATTGACTGTTCCTTTCTATATTATGTGGGGTGAATACCATCATAAAGTTAAGATGTTATTTTTAGTAAAACGTCACGTGTTATTGTAGGGAAAAAGTGGAGTTTGAGATTGCCCCGGTCTCTATTTCAATTAATCCCATATGTTATGTTGATTCACTTTTCTGGCGACCGTGGATTGAATTAACAGCGTAGAAGTGAGGTTTGACTGTACTGTTTTGTA